CAGGAAGTCTACAACGTCGCAAACCGAGTTACGTGGTCTGTTAGTTCACCGTCGATATTCGTAACATTCCGTTGCGGGCAGTTTTAAAAAGATCAACATCAAATGAATTCAACTACTAATTTGACCATCTTCCTTTTCTTTAGATGGGAAATTCGAAAAATTCTTTGGAACAACGGCAACTCTGAGAGCTTTGAGAGAAAAGCCATAGCGGCATCGGAAACGATAACAAAGCGCGGGAAAACAAAACAAACGGCGGAACTTCAGCATCGGTGTGCATCTGAGTCGGATATCGAACGTTAAGCGGTGGATTCTGAAAGCCACACAAGTAACGCAGGTCATAAACTACCTCGTTTAAGACGGTCGCTGCGTCTTTTTGTCCAAACATAATCATCCGGCCCAGTGGCGAAGCGTAAATGATCGATTATCGATATTTCCCCATTTAAAGCTATGGTAAAGAATCGATTACTAAGGTGTTCCGTCTATCGATCCTTTTCTATATTTTTAAAAAGCAGATCAATCGATTTATCGCAAAGCACGTGACGCCACTGCCCGGCTGCCTGCAGTTTGCTAATTAAAGGATGGCAATGCTGCTAGGAGAACAAAAAGTTATTTTTTCTCTGCACGCTCCCCCGACAACGCGCGAACAGAATTACGTTGATTGGTGTAAAATAGTGTCCCACGATGTGGAAACAGCCGTACCGTGAGTCTCAACATGCACTAACTGCCAATAGTTTATTTTCCTCACCGTTTAATCTCAGCAGAACACCAGTTTTCGTAAACTTTGTTTTTGCGCGATCATATACATGTAGCGTAGCTGACAACAGGTATCTGTTGACTGTATTTCCATCTCAACGCAGAGGAAGGAGAATCTTTGCTTTAATAATCTTCACTGGATAAAAAAACACATTGGATCTAGAGTCCAGACTCTAGAAAACATGGACAAGAAAAATGACTCTTGATTCAATCAGATTTAAGCTGAAATCAAGAACCAAGCCTCTTAATTTGAGCGGATTTCCTTTTGATTTAAGCTTAAATCTGATTGAATCAAGAGTATTTTTTCTTGTCGATGTTTTTAAGAGTCTGGACTCGACATTAAATGTGTTTTTTTTTGCCAGTGTTCATGTTGTCAGTCCAAGAGCCAGGCGATATTTAGTGCTTGACAAACTTGTGACGCAGGTTTTGACCAATCAAATAGATAGCCTTACATGCACTGACACGGAAAATTGTCGTCTGCCACGTTGTAGCGTGTAACCATTGTCCACGTTAGTGCAGATTTAGGTGATCACGACGTGTGCCACCACGATTTTGACACTAAATATGATCTAGTTCTTGGACTACGAATTTTAAGTCCTACATGCTTACTTTACGATCTTTATTTTGTTCATTTATTTTTTTTTTAATTGCTTATGTTTTCAGTATCTTGGATACGCGTGTTGCATATTCAAAAATTGGAGGCATTTCCGCTTTCATACGAAGACTAGACTGAGTTGACGGTAGCGCCTTGATGCAACTATTCGTGTTCCACGGATGTGCGTGTTGCGTGCTCAAAATTGAAGGCACTTTCACTTTTCTCGCCTCTTCAGAAATCGATGATTGTCTTGACCTACGAATACTGCACTGACAGTGAGTTAGTTGTGGTGCCTTGATGCAACTATTCGTGTTCCACGGATGTGCGTGTTGCGTGTTCAAATTTGAAGGCACTTTCGCTTTTCTCACTTCTTCAGAGATGCACGGGAGTCGAGACTCGTCAGTTGTAGCACTCCAATAACAGAGTGCGTACATAGGAAGGGCATTCCCAGTTAGTGACACGTGGCAAGAGTATCTTAATAATAACTGAATCGGCCATTCTTAAAAAAACCAAGTGCTAGAAATGAGAAGACGAGAAAAACATAAAAAAATGTAAAAATCGCCCTGTTATTAATCGTAGATTATATAATGATGTGATCGATTGATTCATTGCTTTAATATCTTGGAACTCTAAAACGTAGAACGAGTCGCTTCAGTTTTAGTTTTTGAAGAGAAACAAGCTAACACTACAGCCTGAAACTTATATAGTATATTCTGCTAACAGACAAGGAAAACTAAGGAAGTTTTAAAGAAATTACGGTAACTAGTTTTCCGAAAAAAAAAATGAAGTATGACAGGAAGTCTACAACGTCTCAAAGGAGGTACGTGGTGTCGCACTTAAGCCATCAAAATGCATGAAAAACAATCGATTTCAGGTGAAACACCTTACGTACGATAATCAGAATGGGTTTGAAGGGATGAAAAGAGTGTTGCCAACCTATGAGCATCGTCACTCCTTTTAGAATATAACACTGCACGGAGGAGCAATCTGCTCAGTTTTCGTGGGGAAAGTTGGCAACCGTGGTTTGACGAGGGGTCCGTTGGGAGGAGCACGTGGCGCGGTCGCTCAGTGCTGTGACAAAGTTCTCAGTTTTGGAATCGACGTTTCAAATCCCGCTTCGTTTCAAGACTAAAAATATGACACTAAGGTCCATGCCACCTACAACTTTTTCCCATCCGAAAGAGAGAGTTATTCATTTCTCGTGGCGCCATGCCACGCCAAGCCGCACAGTGCTCAAAATACGCTAGATAATAGATCAAAACGTATCCCTCTACTCCTCCTGAACCCGTGTACCAGAGGAGCTTTCTGAGAAAAGAGGATTTAACATTCGTAATGATCTATGTGCCAAAATGTTGAGTATGAGTAAATCAAGACTGTAATGCGGAATACGCGACCCGGGATTTACGCTGCCGTCCTAAGGAAGAATGCCGTATAAGCCTTCAGACGTAGCTAGATTTCCCTCAGTAAACAATGAATTGACTGATGGAAGTCTAATTATTTTTATTCAAATTTTCAGACAATTTTGTTTGCAATTTAATCTAAAATAACTGGACATTTCAAGGGCAAAAATGCACAATTTTTCTCAAAAATAAATATTTTATCAGGGGAGATTTGGCAGCATCTAAAGAGTCATACAGCGTTTTTCCTTAGAAAATACTGCCACCAATACTGCCGTGCTAAGGAAGAACGCCGTATGAACATTCGAGAGTTGCCAAATTTACTTCGATAAAATGATTATTTTTGAGGAGAGTTATGAATATTTTTCCTTTAAATTTTCAGAATCTTTAGATGAAATTGCGAACAATATTATCTGAAAAATTGGGAGGAAAATAGTCATAAGTTTACCAGGAAATTCGCGTTTTACGAAGGAAAAATTGGCAACGCCTGAAGGTTCATACGGCGTTTTTCCTTAGCACGGCAGAATATTATTCTTGCAGGTCTTGTTTGAGCTACGAACTTCTAATGCATATTGACTGTGAAACTACCAGAACACGCATCTCGGTACGTCAATTCTTGAAAACTTTCGTTTTTTTCTTGTCTGTGCATGGAGACCTCTGTGAAAATTTCAAGAGATGGTATTGATTAAATGTTCTTCTTCAAAAAAGTGAAATGGGAGCGGAGATTTTTATACACAGCAAATGAGATACGTGGTTGGTGCATTTCGCTGTCAATGGAATGCATTAAACTCAAAATGAAGCTGTTGAAGGAATGTGTGGTGAGTGGCCGCGACTTCAGAATTGCTGCATTTTGGGAAAATGCATATAAGTACCCAAAATAACTCTTTGCAGATATGTGTTTATCGCGTATTTCCTTTTTGCTAAACGTGGTATCAGAGATTAAGGACTTTAAATGCGGGATCGTAAATTTTTTCTCGCAGATAACTGCCAAAAAGTTCTCGCACTTACTTACGTGCCAAATCCCAAAACGGAATCGCTCGGAAGTAAAGAGATCTCTTTTTTCCCAACACACCATAGTATCTTTTCGCATGACGTCGTCGAAGTGTTGTTTTGAATGTGAGCCTGAGATAGTATTTCCCTATTGCAAAATGTATTCCCACTGGTTGTTTGAAATAAACAGGACATATGGCAAAATTTAGCAACATTTGATGGCTGATTCATTAGCGAATCCAAGAGGGGGAGAGGGGCGTATAGGAGGCATGCGCCCCCCCTTCACCCAAAAAATGGGAGGAAGAAAGAGTTAAGAAAGAAAAATGAAGGAACGGAGGAGGGAAGAAATAGGGACGCTTATAACTGGTAATTTTTCATGATGAAACTGATTCAACTGCATATTGGGTGCTTTAAAATTTCGAAAACATTTTGAGGGGAACTTCTCGGATTCCCCTCCGCCCTCCCCGCCGGTTCGAAAGGTCTGGATCCGTCAAAGGTCTGATTCTGCTTAATGCTGTCCAACTGGTATAACTTGAGAGTTATATCCACCATGCATATTGCAACTTATGAATACCAAATCAGAAAGGAATTGTCATACAGGCTGCCACAGGCGTAAGAGTCTCTCACTTGTTTAATCTTCAATGGACCACTAGATAAGGTACAAATTTCAGCATTCTGATACATGTTTCTTAACCAAAATTTCACGTAAAACACGATGCGTACAACAAAATTTACCGAGATTAACTCCTTACGAAGGTATTTAATGATTTTTGATGCGTGAATTCAAACCACCCGCTCATGAAAACTCAATGCTCTACGTGATTCACATCGCGCGCTGAACGTTATCATGACAGTATCTACGATGTAAACATCTGGCAACCTCAATCGTGACGCTTTGGCTCAGCTAGGTATAGCAAATTGCTCATTTGCGAACAATACATGGTGAGACATGAACATTGCTCGACTGAGAAACTTGCTGAAACCGTCGTAGTGTGCGATTTAACTCACGTAGAGCTTTGAGTTTCTTGTGAGCGGGCAGTTCAAATTCCTCGCAACCAATGTGAAAGAAAAATTTTAATATCTCCGTTAGGAGTTGGTTTCAGTGATTTCCGTTGCGCGAATCATATTCTACGTGAAATCCTTGCTAAGAAACATGTATCAGAATGCTTAAGTTCGTACCTTGTCTAGTGGTCCATTGCCGCAACTTATGATTACAATACTTGGAGTTACAGAAAGATATGGAACTTGCAAAATCAAGCACTTACCTATACCTATTCAGTCTTCTTTTATTTTCACCCCATTTTGAAGGAATGATCGCGGTGAACAATGTCCAAGCCAGATAGGAACTATCGGAGAATCAGAACAACAATCCTCGCATGAAAAATAAAAGTTTCTGGAAACCACTTATCACGTGTGTACTCAAATTGCATGTGCACTTAGGAAACTTTAACTGCCGAGAAAAAAAAATCAATGATTTTTGCCGTTCATAGACATTGAGAACTGAATACTATCGCCGAAAATATTACCGATATAGTAAATAGACACCGCGCGCACTGTTCCGCACTAAAAACATCCGAAACTAACGAGTATAATCCCGTATAATACTACCTTTTATTTGTCGTTAATTGAACAAAAATCACGTGTCACCGACGTAGTTGTCGTGTTAAAACCGACCAATTTTTATACTTTCCAGCGCTTAGCAAGTACACATTCAAATGAGCAGAGACTTCATCCGCCAAAATAAACACAACGCGAAAAAGTAGAAGTAGAAGAATTAGAAAAGAGAGGAGGTCGATTGTAAGTTCAAGTTTATTTATGGCACTCGATTCCCACCGTGTATTACGCGTGTATTTCGTGGGCTCATGACCACAGGCACTGATAAATACAAAATATCGGGCACAACGATGAAAACAAATAAACTGTTTGGAGGGATGATCATCATTTGATAAAAGTCTAATGAAATGAGCGAGGTTAAGACGATCTCATCCTTTCGGGATTGGCGGTTTGGCCGGACTGAAGAAGTTGGTTGAACTGAACTTACATCGGGAGCTGCCAAACTCCCCGAGTCTATAAATATCTCCAACTCCTATCCCTCTCGAAACCGCCTGCCGCCGCTCGGTATTTGAACGTGAACTATGAAAAAAGAGAAAAAAAAGAGGAACAATGAAAACAAATGCTTGGAATTTCTTTTTCATTGGGTGGGCGCAGCGGAGGGCCACAGCATCGGGGCATCTTCACCGGAAGGAAACTCATTATGAAGAGTGTAGTTTTTTCGATGATTTTATGCCCAGCATGAGCTGCCTGCTCCTGTTGAGCTAATGGGTCTTCCAATTGAATCTACAGTTATATACATGGAGCACGAGTAAATGCACATAGGGACTGCATTTTCTACCACTACTACTATTTCTGGTTCATCCATGAAAGCACCTATCTGAATTTGGAAAATAATGTCATATAAGTTGAAATAAGGATGAAACAAACCGAAAACATGCATTTTTAAACTTTTCATAACATATCGAGATGAAATTACCAGACCATGTACCTCGGTTTGGGGCGTTGCAACCTTCCTGTCATACTTCATTTTTTTAGATGCGGGAACTACTTAGCGCCGATTCTTGAAAAGATCCGTGATTTATATTTTCAGTGCGTAGAAAATTCTGAAAAAACTTCAAGGAATTGTATTGATTTGTTCTCCTTCAAAAAGATAAAACGGGAGTCGGGAAATGGATATTTTTGAACACCGCGAATGAGATCCGTGATCTGGCAGGTTCACCGTCGATATAATTCATCTTATGCATTTCAGGTTTAATCCCATCTTCGGAGATATAATAAAATAAAATAAGTTGCATATAAGTTGTTTCTTAAATGAGCTAGACATAATAATTCTTCGATGGAAAATGTATTTCGCACTGTGACGACAGCCAAATGAGCCGAAATGAGCATGTGCAGGTGGACTAATCCTCAATTTTTAAACTTCCACACGAGCTTATTATAGGCGTACATCATGAAAAATGACAGTAGTGCAGGTCTAACCATTATATGAAATTGTGATTCCTAATTAATTTCAGTAGTATCTCAATTTATTTGGATTAAGCCACAACAAAACGCGATTCAGCTACAATTCGATGCGGGTAGCCTCAATAATGCAGTAATGACCCTTCCAAGCAATTAATTGCAGTAAGACCAAAAAAATCAGGGTGCATATGTTTACATACACTGGTCGCACCTTATGAAATTTACAAAACGACAGAAAAAAATAGAATGGTGCAGGCCGTACAGGGCTAATTACTAGATAAAATGGTCATTTTCTAATTATGTTTTGCAGGACCTCAATTTATTGGGACTCAACAACTGGGGGGATTCAATTGTGTAAGCAAAAAAAAAAAAACGAAAAAAAAAAAAACAAAAAACCTCAGATGAGAAAAAACAAAATGAAATAAAAGTGATAATATGAACGCCTCACTCGATCCAGCGCGACGATGCGATGCGCGCACCGGGCACGCTCTTGATATATTCGCGTGTTTTGCTTTCGATGGTGCTTCCGGTGATCTCAGAAACTATGCGCGCGTTTTCCTCTTTTCCTCTCCGTCCTCATCCTCTTCGGGCAAAAGCAAAGAGGAATAGCTTACTTCAAACGATACAACTTCCTCGCATCCGCAGTTTCTCCTTTCCACGTCTCCGTAACTCCGGACTTCCGTTTCCATTTATGAAGATAAACGATCGAAAAAATTTCAATTTCTCCATCCGCGCGGATAGCCGCGGTGTTTTGAAATTAACTGGAGCTCTTGAAATTAGCCGCGGGGCGCTGAACGCAGGAGGAAACTATCACCGGTTGATCTTAAATTCAGCCGAGATTCATCTTTCCTCAGACAAAGAACGTGACTATTTTCCGACTTCGCAAAATTTCCGTTTAGGTCCAGTTACACGATCAAATTGAGCCATCAAATTGGGCCTCTCATTGGTCACATTCTGCATGCGACCAATGAGAGGCCCAATTTGATGGCTCGATTTGATCGTGTAACTGGACCTTTTCAAAATGGACGAGTTTAGTAGAGTTGGACTACATTTTGCAATCAAGAATTGCAGTTTCTGACTCGGTTTAAAATTAACATATTACCATTTGTTTCCCTAAAGACAGATGTGTGTTTCAATAGAAGCAACTTAATACCCTTTAAAGATCTGTAAATAATCCCCTAACTTATAAGAAATTCACGCACCAAATTTCAAGTAAAAATTTTGCACAATTTTCTGTTGAAACAAAATATAAGATGATGAGAATTTAGGAAACATCTAATGTAATTAGGCTAATTGGACTGCATTTTGCAATCCGGAACTGCAATTCCTGGCTCAGTTTAAAATCAACGCATGTACCATTAGTTCCCCTACGGGCAGGTGTTTTTAAATGAGATGGGAATTGCAGCTCCTAATTGCAAAATGTAGTCCAATGAGCCTAATTACATTGGATATTTCCAAATTTCTCATCATATTTTATTTTGTTTTTAACAGAAAACTGTGCAAAATTTTGACTTGAAATTCGCTGCGGAAATTTCTGATAATTCAGGTTCAATTTGCAGATTCTTTACCGGTGCTGATTTTGATTTCACAAGAGAATTAGCAAAATTTTGGACTGAAATGCACTGTTATAGTTTTGCTAAAAATTAGATGGTTTGGACAGCTGATTAAGACTCGTATCATTAAAATTTCGAGCAAAAACATCAAATACTTCAGAATATCGAAAATCAGCTCATGAAACGCGTTATCACGTCGCTCCTACAACGTAAGGACGTACCTCAACTTCTACGTGAGCCCTGTTCTCTGCATGATTCTACGCTTTTCGGGGTTTTTGTGAAAATAGAGATACGCCCTCACGTCAGAAGAACGACGAAAGTCGACGCGTTGTCGTACTATGCTTAACCATGACCTGTGGCTCTTTCCGTGGTTTGGTGGCTTGCATAAAAACTTTATTGCTTTTTGCGTTGCGTTGCTCACGTATCACTTGAATCACCACAATAAAATAAGACAAATGGAACCAACACAACATAGAAATAGAGCAAGGGAACCGTCGCGCGTTGATGACGGCGCAGAGATACAACTATTCGTGCTTGATGGATGTCTGCGTTGCATCTGCAAATTTGAAGGCGCGGTGGCGCGAGGCGTGAACTCTCAACGCTCCGCTAAGTGTCGCTCCGATTCAGAGAGTTAAAAAATCGGAATCCACTCTTAGGGCGGATTGCATTCCTTATTTATGAAACTAGATACGATTAGATAAGTGGTACTCTCTCCTAATTTATATAAGGAATGAAATTTATACTAAGAGAAGATGCCACTTTGAGCGGGGTTTCTGGAGACAAAATAGTCTTAGGAATGAAATTATCCTAGGATTTCACTCTTAGAGCTCGCCCTAGAATATGTGCCCTTTGTACAGCATCTACCCCTGATTCGAGGGAGGTTCCCTCCCCGAGAGACTACCTCTCTATATCAGTAAAACGCTCCGCAAAGAAATGCGGCTAAAGTGCAATGGAAAAAAAAAAAAAAAACACATTGGATCTAGAGTCCAGACTCGTAAAAACATCGACAACAAAACATACTCTTGCTTCAATCAGATTTAAGCTTAACTCAAGAACCAAACCTCTTAATTTGAGCGGATTTCCTTTTGATTTAAGCTTAAATCTGATTGAATCAAGAGTCCTTTTCTTGTCAATGTTTTCAAGAGTCTGGACTCTAGATCCAATGTGTTTTTTTTTTCCAGTGTGCCTATCCGTATGTCAGCTCCAAGCTTCAAGATGTTAATTTTTAGTCCACGAGTTCTGGCAATATATTTACAAAGTTCCAGCTCAGACGCTGCCAGCGGGCTGACAATTGAAATTGCAGGGTGTCTATACCGTACGGAAAAAGAACGGATACACTGATAAAGCATTGATTTCGGAAGGTCGGCACGGAAGTACGGCAAAAGTGCGGATTTTCCGATACGAAAATCCGAGATTTTCGTGATAAACTCTAAAAAGTACCCTTAGGGGTATGCGATTTCCATTTATTAAGTTCGTGGTTCGGTCCCTCGTGTTTTTCGGTTTTTACCTTAGTCATTCCATCACTCCACTTTCCCAATCCGAATCCAGTTAAAAATATGTGTGAGATGAGGAAAAAGTAAGGAAGAAGCAAGGATTGTTAAGAATCACCGAAAAAATGAATTTTCGGGAAAGTAAGGAAAAAGTCTTTGTTCTACTACCCTTTTGAATGAAAACTTTTACTCATTGTCCCCGCACCGACATTCCAACATTCACGTCTCGTATACGTGCTCTCCAAAATCTTCACTTTCATGGTTAATAGCACGGGCTGCGCTCAGAGGCTGCGCTTCGGTTCCACGAAAAGGTTTCTTGAACATATGCACGGAGAAAAAAACTTCGTATATAAGACCCGAAGTTGAGGTCATATGGATCTCTGAAGTTTTCTGATCACGCACCCGAAAACTTGAGGTCGAGCTGCCGAAGTTCGGGTCAGACATCGAGGCACTTCGGTGCGTACCGGAGTACTTCAGATGTGTGATCCGAACCCTTCGGTATATATCGAAGTACTTCAGATGTCTGTCCCGAACTTCGGCAGCTGGACCTCAAGTTTTTTGATACGTGATCTGAAAATTTCATAGATCCATATGACCTCAACTTCGGGTCCCACGCACGAAGTTTTTTTCTCCGTGTGCTCTTTCATACACACCTAGAAAATTGTTCTTGTTCCTTATAATCTCACCACTGGTTTTTATTGTTGACTTCCTCCGATCATTGTACTCTCACAAGTATTCGGAGATAAGTTGCCTTTTCATGACGGGTTTTGCCCTAGAAGAGACAAAACTCTCATTCAGATCAAAAATAAACTCAGAACAGCTCAGAAACGGAGGGACATATTTCCGATGAGAACGCTCTCTTCAAATTTTGGCACCGAGTTTGTTATTTAATTAAGTTTTAAAACCTCGAACTTTCATGGTTTTACGTTTGAAAGAATAAGAGTGCATCGTCAGTTCGTCACACATATAATCATATGCATTGCGTGCTTAGACCTTGCTAGAGTGGGAGCTTAAGTTTCTGTGTTAACTACTGCATTTAGATCGTACAAACGTTAGGTTTTAGGAATCCTCGTAACAATCAACTTACCTTAAAATTTACCATCGGGAATATTTTTTGGCATTTAAAAAGGTGGAAATAATGCACATCTCATACCAAGATTTTTGCAGTGACATTTCTTAAATCATCATGACTCGAGAAGGATGATGGTGTCTTTAAAATGGAAATGGGATTTTTTCAATTAAAATGTGACAGATCGATGGCCAAAGTGCGAAATTACGTTTCTCCTGTTGCGAGGTTAAGGACGTCCTGTCATTCTTTATTTTTTTTTTAGAAAAAAAAAACAATTCATCATAAATCCTTGAAAATTTCATCTGTTTTTCTTTTACGTCAGCAGATTTTTTTTTTTTTTTTTTTAATATAAATTTCGAGCTATAATTTTTTGGGGTTTCTCTTCGAAAAAATAAATTAGGAGCAGAAATTCTGAAAATCCCAATGGAAATACGCAATGTTGCGCACTTTGACAATCCATATTTAATAATTTCATCAATTTTGGAACTTACAACATGGAACTTCTAATGAACCATACAATTAGAAGCCGAACTTCAAGCAGGGGCAAAATAATTGGATGAAAATTATCTTTGTGACTGTTAAAATGAATTCATTCGAATCATACATTGCGGTCATACATATTTCTCGCGTGCAAGGACCTTCTCAAGAAAAAATCATCCGGTTTTTATAAATAAGCAGTGTTTGGTATCCATGGCACCTATTATAATTTTTTAGTAAAAAAGTGTTTCAAAATAATAAAATATTAATTTTTTATATCAGCACACTATACAGTTTGGTATGTTTGTCGGACATCATTCACACCAAAAACAGTAGCTTGGATCTTGGGCCTAGACTCTTGAAAGATGTGACAAGAAAAACTACTTATGATTCAATCGGATTTAAACTTGAATCATGAGGAAATCGGCTTAAATTAAGAGGCTTGGCTCCCTATTCAAGCAAAAATCCGATCGAGTAAAGGTTATTTTTCTATCAAACTTTTTAAGAGTCTGGACTCTAGATCCATGCGACTATTTCCAGTGTTTGCATTTTGGAAGCTATTTTTTCTTCTGTTTTATCTCATTTATGCGCGTGTAAACACACAGAAACCACCGAGCGGTGAGTAGTAGTCAGTCAGTGCAAACAGTTGAGTGACGTTGGATCATATACGAAAAAAGTTAATTTTATCACAGGAAATTATTTTCAGAGCAAAGAGACTCGACGGCCCCCAAGGCGGTAAGCTTCAAGAGACCCTCGAAAATGAGAACAAAGGATTACAGACAAAAGTGGGCAAGACTAGTGTCTCGAGTCCAGACAACTGCGACCGACAACTAAGCCCGAGTGACATATATCGAAAAATTGTGCACGAAAAATAAGTCACAAAGTTGAGGAGCAAGACTTGAGGTTGACAAACAGGGCCGCTCAAAAATTCCCAATCAACATGATTTCGAAATGTTTCACGAAAAAATTTCGAAATTATAGGACTAGGTACGGTAAGAAAAAATAATATTTGATCGCAGTTTCTGAGGTCTACTTTTCCTTTTTTAAGGAAAAGTTATGTAACAAGTTGAATTTCTTAAGTACAGACAACGCTGGCCGAATGGAGGAAGAGGAGGGGAAGGGGGTTGAGCAGGGGCTGACGACAAAAATACGCTCAAAAATAAACGCAAAACAAATGGAGAAAGAGTCTGAGTTGTGACAGATGCGTAGTGGTAATTAATGAATTTCTTTCCTCCTTTTCCTTTTCAACGTCTTTCTTTCCTACCATTTCTATTCTGTTTTGCTTGTCTCCTAAAATTCTAGCGTATTCATCCTCCCTGCCTTCCATCTGAACTGGTTATTATAGCCAATTAGCTTTCAAAGTGTAACAATGCAGTGCAATGGTCAAGTGGATCACATTCTGCAATAAGGAACCACTATTTCTAGCTCATTTTTGAAACAACATAAGTGCCATCGGTTTCCTTATGTAGATATGCGTTTTTAAGAAAGAGTCAGAGATAGTGGTTCCTTATATCAAAATGTAATCCAAGTGATACTCAATTTGTGTCCTTCAAGTTTTAGGAATATGTCATTTGTATTTTCTCTTTCAAACTCATATGAACAAAACATTTGAGAAAGTATTAGAGCTATACCAATTGCTAGATATATATANAAAAAAAAAAAAAAAAAAAACGTTACAGTTTTTAATTTTTGTTTTGTTTTTTTATAAAAAACTTTCGAATGACGTAGAGCAATTTTATGTTCCGATACAAACAGAACCACTTAGGTAAATTATTGTGATTACATTGACAACATGAATGGAAATCATGTCATTTGTTGTATTTTTCTCTCAATAAACTTGTGTTCCACAAATGTTCTTATACATATTAGATCAGACTGTAAATATGACGGGCTCATATTTTTACATTTCTTTTACTAATGACACAGCACACCTATTTTCACATGATGTCTTTAGTATGATAACTTTCACTAAACCGTTTTGTGCCTCCTTCTTAAAAGAAAAATATCATTCAATTTATAACGGAACTACGATATTCTAGCCACCTTCACCTTCTTTCATGATTTACCAGTTTTGCAGTTTGGAAAGCATTTTTTGTCGAGTTTTTAGTGTTTTCTTTTTCGGTCTATAAAATGGATGTTATCAATTGTTCAACGGGAACTTGTCCTACAATTGGGCTGAAAAAAACACGATTGATTGCACTGCTAATTTGCTGACTGTTCAATGTGAGTAGAGCAGTCATGATCTGGCCGAATCTCTTGGACGAGTTCATAAGCGTGTAATGTTGTAAAGCAACCAGTGTCCTTTCTTGAAATTCACAAACTCTCTCGTAACCAATTGTTTGTGTGTCGTAAAGTAGATCTGGAATCATACGGAAAATGTGTAAACAAATCGTGATACATTATAATGAAAAATGAAAGATAATTTTTCAAAGGTAGTGCAAATATATTTATTCTGTTAAAACAAGATGTTTGACTTCATGCACATGCATCACAGACTTCCGAGCAGTTACACTTTAGAGACATGCAAGTTGCATCAACCTCTCAATGAAGGCGTTTTGAGTGAGTTTGATGCAAGTGCGGTCTGTTGGACGAAAAGCGCACGTTTTTAATTTTGCGTCACTAATGGACTATTGTATTTTTTTGCTCCAACTGTTAGAAAAGAGGCAGAAAGAATAATTTTTGGAGATATGCCTCATTTTTGAAACATGCACCATTCAAAGATATTTATTTATACATGCATGATTCCTGAGTCAGATGAAAGTAATCGTAGCAGACATTTTGAGAAAAAAAAAAAAGAAAAAAACAGACAAGTGCAAATCGCACTGATCTGGAAATTGAAGTTGTTACAGTTTGAAGTTATATGGAGTCTTACAGTTCAAAGAAGTTGGAGAAACGATCATTATCCGGAAATTTCAGCTGCAGTCTAGTTGAGTATTTTTTTGAACTTCAAGTGCCACTTATGTACTAATTCTGTTTGATGTAATATTTTCCCATACTTTAATTTTTGACATGAATCATCTATATTTCAACCGTTGCTCTGGTGTGACTTACACCTTGATTTTTCAAAATTCTAGATTTTGTCACGCCTTTTTGGAGTCTGCTCAATGATTTGGACCGATAATAGCCAAGGTTTTATCAGATAAATTTGTAGGTGAGATTGGAGGTTGTTGACAGTTTTTCAAGTAAATATACCATCATGGCATTTAACTTATCGATCTTACCGAAATAAACAGCCATTTTGAGTGATTATTGCAAAAATAGTAATTATCACTGTTTCTAAAAATACGCCCAAAAATAAGCAGTTCCTCATTTATTCGTAAAAACGTTGGAAATGCGCTAGTTCTTTAATTTCAAGAAATTGGATTTATTTCTTCATGAGGTTGCTGCGGGCTTCCTCTTGCAAAGTTTCATCCAATTTTATTTTAAATTTTCAATGAATGGTTTTCCCTAATTATTACGATGATTTAAAATAAGATGGAATATACTGATAATTGAAACGGGGTTTTAAACGGAAGCTTTACAGCATTAACGTTCCCAGTAATCTCATCATACCTGGGCGAGTTAATATCAACGATTCAATGAGTGATATCTCCATGGCGTCGAGTCTTAAATTTTGCAGCGTACGAACTGACCGCCTCAATAAAATTGGACAGGTAAGTGTGCATCCTGGCAAACGACTGAGAACAAAAAGAACATACCAAAGAAATATCAGTTGTGCACATTGTTGCCATACTGACGAAAGAGCGTATCTCAATCTCTACATGAGCCGTGTTCTCTGCATAGCATGATAGCTCTTTGATTTTCGAGAAATAGAGATACACCGTTTCAATCTGGGCCGTTTGACCTGAGATGTCGAACTCAAAGTTCATACATGGGTCCGATTTGACTCGGCATGTAAACTATCTCCGGGGCAGCTAAACTAACTCTGGGGCAGCTAAACTAACTCTGGGGCAGCTAACCTAACTCTGAAGAAGCTAACCTAACTCTGGGGCGAAGTATGGTGTATCATGTGAGACTGGAGGCGCTTCGAAAATCGTAATTTTTTTTACACAGAAAAAAATGGATGGTGCTGACGACAGAACCTTTTGTTCATACGGCTCCCACAGTTTCTTTGTTACACTTACAGAACTTTTGGTCGTGGTAACAGAGTACTCTGTTCCCACGACAGAAGTTCTGTTCTCACAACAGAAAAGTTCTGTAAGTGTAACAAAGAAACTGTGGGAGCCGTATGAACAAAAGGTTCTGTCGTCAGCACCATCCATTTTTTTCTGTGTAGTACCCTTCTCCTTTTTCCTCTGTGATAGAGAAGGACTTTACTTGTGGACTTTTTTGAGGGTCTTATCAAAATATTAAAGAGTATACGCTGAATTTTCAATGCTTCGCACACAAACCAGAGAATTAGTTCAGTCTTAACATTCGCTCTTAACTGTTATGCAACAATTCGCCTCTGGAATTGAATAATTGATATGCTTTCCTAAATTTGTTATAGGGTCAATATTTGTAATCTTGCTAACTTTACAGCCTCAGATTAGAAAAAAACTAGTTTATTTCGGCCTCTGAAGAGTTTATGGTAATACTAGGGGGCTACGTCCCCTGGCCGCTACGCGGCCCAACCCCCTGAAGGCGCTCCGCGCCATCAATGGGCCGCTTCGCGGCCCTATTTTTACCCTCCTATCGGTGTTAGTTTTATTTTTCCCCTAAAAAATTACGATATAAGGTATACTTTACTTTTAGAATGAAATAATTTTTGGTTTTGATGAATAAAGAAACAAAATTATTTTTTTGAAGTCTAAAGGACGCGTTTTGGAATGACTACTTGATGAAATATTGCAGTAAAACAACGAACATTGATAATCAGGTAATAATTGAGAGTTTCGGGAGACGGGGATCGAACCCATACCATGTTCAAGGTGGACGCTTCCGACGTCTTTGACGACTCGGCCACCGCTCTACCTGAGGCAGACGGGGCGAATCTTGTGTAGATAAGTGTAGAGCTGATGCGCAGGCTACACAGCTACTGCGCAACCTCCTCGACCACTGCGCATCCTCCCGCGCATAGCGGTAGCAGTCTCGGAGCATTCTGAAAATTCACTCACTTTTATAACGTGATTTTAAAAAAACCTGGGTCCTATTTCCAAAATCTGAATAGAGCGGGCTCATCTAGGGCCAATTACCCGTCGATTACCGCAAAAAACTTAGAAATCGGCCCGGTAGAACGCTCAAACGAACTATGACAAAAAATATAAATTTACATTGTTTAAATGGGAGAATTCGCAACTTTACCACTTAATATAAAAAACCTAGGCCATATTTTGAAAATCTGAAAAGAGTTGGCTTATCTAGAGACAATTGCCCGTCGATAGCCGCAAAAATCATAAACATCGGCCCGGTAGAACGCTGGAACTAAGCGTTACCAGTTTCGCAAAATTAGGAGGCTTGAGAGCTTATAGTATACACTGAAAAAAAACTTGTCCTAAATTTAAGGAAACACGTATCCTTAAAAAGTTTCCTAATTCCAACACGGTGTTAGCTTGGAACAAGCCAACAGTTATCTCGATCCAAGGTAACAAAATTGTGTTGAGTTAAGAAAACCATGCTTTCTTGAACCACGTATACGTTTTCTTGAAACAGACTAACGGATACTTGAAACGGGAAAACTGTTTCCTTAAAATTAGGAAACGAAGGAATCGCTTCTGTTTCCTAAATTTAAGGATCCGTGTGGTGTTGATCGAAGAACCCTGTTTCCTTAGAATTAGGAAACGGAGAGAAGCAAAGCCGTTTCCTGAATTGAAGAATCCATGGAGTGTCGTTTGAAGAGATCAGTTTCCTTAAAATTAGGAAACGGGCATAGCATTTTCTGTTTCCTCAATTTAAGGATATATGTGATGTTGATCAAAGAAACCCATTTCCTTAAAATTAGGAAACAAAAAAATGACCAAACGCCTACTGAGGAGGTGGATGCAACGTGCCGTACAGGTCCCTATTCTTTCACACGTAAAAACAAAACGGCGTAACTCTCTCCTTGACCCTTTCTCTCCCTTAGAGCGTTACATATTATTTGAACGGTCCTTTACAGAAATCCGACCGAACCGCTTGGATGGCGTTATTCGTAAGATCCACTCCACTCCAAACAAATTCAGTATGTTTAAATTTAATCAATTAATCTCTTGTTCGTAAAGGATTTACGCGTCGGAAAGGTGGAGGTTTTGATAAAACGCAATTTTTGTGCCTTATCAAAAATATTGTTTTCAGTCCAAAATGTCAGAATGCTTTTTAGAAACGCACGGATCAGATCCAAAGTTCCTTTAATATTTTTCGGTGAATTTTCTAATTCGACCAAAATTTCTTTAAATTTTCTATAGAAAAGCGTGCGTCCGTTAATGTAGGTATAAATAAATAATGTGAAGCTTTTCAACATTTTACTGCAAGTACACTCTTTGAATCTGGTCGTAGCTTCGAACATTTTTAAGTGTCTTCAAATCCCAGAAAGCTTGACTCGGCCCGATATGTACTCATTAAAGTATTACCTATACATGCCTTTATCATCACCACATCTTTACCGCTATTCCGAGTACATTTTGAAAACTCCATAAAGATCATTTATCTTTTATGTGCCAATTTTATAGCCAACATTAAATAATCTTAGATTATTTTGTCTATACTTTATTAATTAGAATTTTAAATCATATTTACTTTCAGTATGAGAAGCTGTTCTCACATGAGCCTCCTTGATTACGCATTAACCTTAATGATATGGGCGTCAGATTGGATAATCGAATGAGTGATAATTTACCTTTGAGAGGCACGTATGAAAATCTGTCCTTTAACCAGACTTAAATAAAAAAATAATTTACTCCATGATCATACTATCTCCGAATGAAGAAGAAAGAGGAATACGTTGGTTAAGTCATGGCGGCGATGGCCCACGGTCTCTAAATAATATCTGAGAACCGGCTGATAAACAGAGAGAAAAGGGAAATATGTGGATATTTAATATATTTAAATGATAATTGAGGTAGTATTTGCTAGACAAACCCAAGTTCTATTGAACGGTAGCAGGTGGGCATCTGTTTAGCCAAAGAGATAGATGCGAATGGGTTTAACATAGCAAAATAACTCCTCACCGCTCGCGAGGGTAGGATGGCCGAATGGACTACGGTGTCGGAATTTCTCTCTTTCCGGGACAATGTCGAAGGTTACAGGATCAAATCTCAGCCAGGGCGAAACGGAGTTCTTCATCAGGATACCAGAGGGAGCGCGAAGCGCGTCAACTACGTAAAGGAATTCATCCCCGGCAGTACCAACAATAGGGGTATGCGCTTCGACG